CCTCACATCTATTTGTCAGGGTGGCAATAATAATAATAATAATAACAATAATAATAAAAGGGTAACAAGTATTGACAAGGATGTGGGGAAACTAAAACCCTTATGCACTGCTTTGAGGAATGTAAAATGATGCAAGCACTACAGAAAACAGTATGAAGATTTTCCCAAAAATTATAAATAGAACTATTATATGATCCAGCAATTCCACTTTTGGGAATTTATTCAAAAGAACTGAAATCAAAATCTCAAGAAAATATCTGCACTCCCATGTTTTTTGCAGCATTGTTCATAATAGCCAAGACACAGAAACAACCTAAATTCCCATTGACAAATAAAGGGATGGAATATTACTCAGCCTTAAAAAAGAAGGAAATTCTGCCATATTCAACAACATGGATGAACCTGGAGGACATTATGATAAATAAAATAAGCCAGCCACAGAAGGACAAATACTGCATGATTCCACTTACATGAGGTGTCTATAATAGTCAAACTCATAAAAAGAGAGAATAAAATGGTGATTGTCAGGGTTTGGAAGAAGAGGGAAATGGGGAATTCCTGTTCAATAGGCATAAAGTTTCAGTTATACAAAATAAGTTCTAGAGAGCTGCTGTACAGCATCATGCCTCTAGTTAATACTACTGTACTGTACATTCAAAAATGTAAGAGGGTAGATATATTAAGTGCTCTTACCACAATAAATTTAAAAAAATAGATCATAGCAGGGTTTAGAGCTAGCTGCAGGTGTTCAGAGTCTGACCTCACAGTAATAGTCCACTTTTTTAAAGACCTTCAAGATCTGTCTTAGGGGAAAGTGATTAAGTTTTGAAGGCCCAGAAAGAATGAAAATGTGAACATGGAGCTATGGACTTATATGAAATAAAAGATGTTCTATAAAAGATATCCCAAAGTCTACTTTCTAAATTTCATCCTTTCTACATTTCCTGCTTTATTTCCATATGCTGCAAATTGCATATGGTTTAGTTTGCCCCACTCTTTCAAATTTCCATTTTCTCCTAACAGAGTTACACCTGCATTTATCACAAATATATGTGAAATTCTGATGATGGTGTTGGTTAACTACCTAAATGTTGTGACCTGGTGGGGAGAGGAGGGTCCTGAAGGTCTGCTTTACAGATTTAATTTCATCTAGGACCTGTCCTTTGGAGACTCAGGGAGAAGCTCCAGCAAATAGTTGTGTTCTGGAGGTTAGAAAGGGCAGATAAAAAGACAGGGCACAGCAAAAGTTCAGGACTTCTTGATGACAAGCATGTAAGCTGTTGGAATTAAATTTTTTTTTCTAACCTTGAGGAGTTTTATGAATTGCTAGAGGGTAGAAATCAACATTATCATTCTCCTTTCTACTTCAAACTGTTACTATTTATTGCCTGTTCACCATATGCCAGGCATCCTTCTGAGTGTGTTTCATACGAAATAGTTCATTTAATCCTTTCAACAACCTTATGGAGAGAGTAATGCATTACTCCCATTTCAAAGATGAGTAAACTGAGGCCCAAGAGGGAAAGTAATTTTCTAGGGCCCCACAGGTGGTAAGAGCCTGAGTTAAGTAGAATGATTCTGGCACCAAAATTTTTTTACATACCCTGAAAGGACATCCTAGAGACTTGATGAGTAGACCTGTCTCCTCAGTTCTTCATGGTTGGCTAATTAGCTGTCACTTCCTGAGGTCAAAATGAAGGTGACTTTGAAATCAGTCCTTCCTCCAGATATCAGGCATTTAGCAGTCCCTCACCATTTCTTCCTGGTTAGAGATAGATACAGGAAGGTCAATCTTGTAGAATCCATTCTGCCTAGCTAGTGAATGGTCACTCTATAGCAAACTTAGATTCAGGTATTTGTGGTATAACTAAAACTATATAAATCCCAAATGCAACTTTAGGGAAAAAAAAGATTTGCTAGAGACAAATTCAATCATCTGCTATAAAATCTGCTGCTAGCTTGATTTCTTGTGAAGTTAAATATAATCAACCAATTACAGATTTCATATGTAGATAAAGGCATAGTTTTGACTGCAGTGCTTCTCTCTAATGTTGTAGAGGGTTTCCTAGCCATACACAGCTAAGTCAATTCTAAGATTCGATTTTCTTCTTCATTGTACCTCTTAGCCCTCTGCACTTCTGTCTACATTTATGTGTTTCTGCCATTTTCCTACATGTGCACATGCTCAGTAGTGTTAGAAAGAAATGATTCCAGGGGTTCTTCTGTCAACTGTCTGCCTCTCTACACACTGAGATGGTTTTATTCTTATTCTTATTCTTTAAAAAGCCCTTAGGATACAATAGCTCCACCACTTAGCACTGTGACTTCGGCCACATTACAACCTCTCTGTGCCTCAGTTCCCTCAAGTATTAAATAGATTTAAATTGTACTCACTTAATACAAAAAAGGACTTGGCCACAGTGCCTGATACAAAACAAACACTAAATACATGTTAGCTATTATTATTACTATTATTAACTTGTGGAGGAACTCACTTCTTCCCAAAGTATTACCAAGATATCATTTAGGAAACAAAACCCACATTTAAAGACTTTTAGGGTTAGTATGGAGGATCTGAGATATTTTAAAATTTAAGACCCTTTTTAAATAAGAGCTAACGTATTGATTACTTATTACATGCCAGGTATTGGGTTATGCCACGTGTTTGTATGTATGACATACACACACACATCTGTGTATATATATAGTCACTTAATCTTTGCTGTAACTCTACAAATCACTAAAATTACTTCAGAGGAATTAAACAATTTGCCTAAACCTCCTGTTGAGTAGGACTTGAGCCTAGGTTTATATCCTAGGCCATCAAATATGTATTCTTACGTGCTTAAGTTAGCAAAGCAATAATGCCTCTTACACTTTAAGAGCTATTATTTTCCAGAGTTTTTCCATGTGCCACGGCCATTTAAATGAGAAGTCGCTCACTGTGGCATGTATCATGATGATTAAAATACATTATTTCAGGGGCGCTTGGGTGGCTCAATCAGTTAAGCCTCCAACTCTTGATATCAGCTCAGGTCTTGATCTCAGGGTTGTGAGTTTAAGCCCTGAGCTGGGCTCCACACTCAGTGTGGAGCCTACTTAAAAAAAAAAAAAAAAGTTATTTCTGTGGTTCCAGCATTCTGGACTTCACGGATCAGTAAATTTTTCAAAAATTGGAGACAACACAAAATTGTGTTATTCAATTTTTTTATGGGGGAAATCACTGTAACACCATTGATTTTTTTCTTTTGCTAAGAATATAAACATCAGTCACATTATCAGATAAATTATACACTTAGAATTTGGGATTCCTGACTCCTTGGCCAAATTTTTTATAGCATTTTAAAAAATTCAGATACATTTCACATAACATAAAATTTATCATTTTTAAGTGTACGCTTCAGTAGTTTTTAGTATATTCACTCTGTTTTGCAACCATTATCACTACCTAATTCTAGAATATTTTTATCATCCCACAGACCCCATACCTATTAGCAGTTAGTCCCAATTCCCCCCCTTCCTCATCTCCTGGCAGCCATTAATTTTTCTGTCTCTATGGATATGTCCTTAGGCAAATCTTTTATTTCTGCACAAAATGACTGTCTCAGATCTGTGATTTGTTTCTTATTCCTTGCTGCCTAAATCAAACTGCCTGCCCAAAGCTTTACCTTGGTGTGTCGTTCCCAGTGGCATATGTAATATATATGATAGACGGCATCAAAGTACAAAATTCTAAGAGGTCCCATCAAGTTAGCAAATGTTGCCGTACGTATGGATTTTAATATGAAGAAATATACTACATACTTTCTACATTTCCACTGTCCACATTTACTTACAGTTTTAGTTTACTTCTAATTTTAATTCCAATTTTAGATTTTCCTCATCTTTTATTTCTCTTCTTTTGGTATTTATTCATATGACATGTCAAATTACATACACTTTGAACTTAATCTGAAGGCTGCTAATGTTTTCAGTAACCACTACAAATCAAAATAGTATTATGAAGGCCATCTTTTTTTTTTTAATTTACATCTAATTGAGGTTCCCAAATTCTGGTCCAAATCTGTGCTATATTTAATTGCTCTATTCTCTGTACATCCATACACTCAGTTCATTTCTCAGATTAATTTCCTTTTAAAATAGAAATTCAAATGTGTTACTATGTTCCACTGTGATTTACCTATTTACATGTCTCAGAGTGGAATCTGAACTCCTGGAAAGTAAAGACTTCGTCTATACAAGTTTGATTTCCAGTACGGTGCCTGGTGCGTGGTATGAACTAACATAACTACTGCTGTTGAATGAAGGAAGAGGTTTTAAATATATACACAAGCATATGCATAAAAATTTGTAACACCCAATTATATGTTATATTACATAATATCCATATGTAACATACACATGTAAGTTCACAGCTACATTAAAAATATTTAATATTTGAAAAATTCAAATGATATATTTGAACATCATAAAATGTTAAATATATCGAGTTTTACATAGTATGACTTTATAATAACCTGTAAACTAGTTATTACACACACAGAAACACACTCTTTAACAGGATATTCCCCACAGCGTAATTACAAGATGGAGGAACAACGAATCGAAGAGGGTGGAGATTCAAGTCAGGTAAACAAACCTGCATTTGGATTGCCTAGCGCTACTTGACTGACTTTGGCTATTTCTTTCTGAACCTAAATTTTCTGTGACGTGGAGATAGTTATTACCATGCTTAGGGAATTGGTTTAAGGATAGGGCTAATCTATATTAAGGGCTCGACACTTTCGCAGGCCCTTCAAGAATCTTAGCGGGCACTTTACCCCTCAGACTTAAGTAAAGGTGTTTAATTTTTCTACATATTATGAGTCTTTTCCAGTGAGGGGAACCTACCCAGATGCCAAATTTGTCAATTCAGAGAGTCCAGATAAACTAAAAGCACAAAATGATGCATCTCTAACTCTGACGTATTGCTAAACCCGGAGGAAGCGCAGGGTGGACCTCCACTATCCCAGCATTCCCCGCGCTGCTCCCGTTGCTCTTCTACCGCGTCTCTATGGTAGAGCCGGCCTCTGAGGCGGCAGCGGCGTTGGTGGCTTCGGTGAGGAAAAGTGAGAGTTCTAACTTTCCTCTTGGCCTGAGAGGTTTTTGGCGCGGAGCGTCGTCATGTCGGAGAAAAAGCAGCCGGTAGATTTGGGTCTCTTGGAGGAGGACGACGAGTTCGAGGAGTTCCCTGCCGAAGGTAACCGGCTGGGCCCCGGCCTCTGGGCCAAGCGGACGGTGACTCAGGCCTCCGGGTGGAGTCGGCGCGGATGCTTGGGCTCGGCCCCGAGGCGCCCGTGGGAAGTCCGGACCCTTGCGGCCGGCTCTTGAGGCTCTGCACGCGCGACCCTCCATGCGACCGGCTTCGGGTTCGGAGTGTTTCGGTGGGCCTCACTAGTGAGGCTAAATGCCTTCTGCTTCCTCATTGGGAGGAGCCACGGTGACCTGGGCCTCTAGCTCTGAGTCCGGGATGGTTGGTCCTTTTTTTTTTTTTAAATTGTTCAGCCGAGTTACCCGCCACTTCGTTCATGGCTATATAAACCTCTTTTTTCTTTATTTTCTTGTAGTGTAGCAGCCTTCCTTTGTCCCTAAACCATCCAGAATTAAATTGCTGTACCTGGTTAGGCCAATATTGCTTACTTTTAGGACTTTACAAATGAAGCCTCTTAAGTAGAATGGGAGGATCAGGTGTTGGTGGGTAAAAACACGTTATTACCCTATCCTTGTTTCTCATTTTTGATCACTTCAAACTAACAAAGTTTAAGGATTTATAAGATCCTAAAACGTCTATTTTTATTAGCTTCATGGTTACCAAGAGGAACTTTAGTTTTCTCATTGTAAGTGAAAGCAAATAGCTAACATTTACTGGTTAATTACTTGTCTGAGTGTTTTGCTTGTATTCATTTTCACAGTTCTAGCAACTAGGTACCGGTATTACCGTTTTTCAGATAAAGAAATTGAAGTTTGGAGCTATTAAGAAACTTGTCCAATGTCACATAGCTGGCTAGAAATGATGGATACCTTCTAGGAATGATGTACTGCTTCTGTTTATTTTTTAGATTGTTGTTGGCAGATAGGTTTCCAGAATTATTTGCTTTATTGTCTGTTATGTGTAGGATAAATATTTGTCTTGTAAGAAAAGGGTACTGTTGGGTAGCCTTTCTGAAGGTGGTAGGAAGAGAATTGTGGTTAATGGTGTACAAATCTGTTATGTTAAGCAATTGCAACTTCACTAAAATTGTCCTAAGTTGTACCCCATCGTGATCCTATTGTGCATAAAAACCACATAGCTTGAACATTTGTTCTTTTTATGGTGTACTCTATTATTTTGTTTAGCGGTAGAAGACATTAGTGTTCATAGGACACAAACTCATAAACTAACCCAAAGCATATTTCAGTTATGGGATTCATCATATATTGAGGGGATTGTTTTGTTTTTGTTTTGGTAGTGGATTTATCTGTCCAGACATGTTTTCTCTCTCTTTTTTTAATAAGATTTTATTTATTTATTTGAGACTTGCGGGGGCAGGGAGAGAGTGAAAAGGAGAAGCAAGCTCCCCGCTAAACAGGGGGGTGGGGGGCTGGATCCCAGGACCCGGGGATCATGACCTGAGCTGAAGGCAGACCCTTAACTGACTGAGCCACCCAGGCGCCTTTCCTTTACCTCACTGTCAGGTTGATTCATAATCTAACATTGAGCTATACAGTAGAGAACTGACTTAGGACAGGATTAACTTTTTACTCAAACTTCGTATTTCAAATAGCTTTTATCCATTGTTTATCACAGTGCTAGGCACTTTGTTTACATTATATAGTCCATCACCACAACTGGTGAGGAAACCGATGCTTAGATTTAAAAAACTTGTCATTTAGTCAAGCCAGGATCTGAAAGGTCTGTGTGACTCTCCAACATAAGCTTTATTTTTAACCTTTAGCAAAGTGCCTGGCACATAGTATGTGGTTAATATATGCTTGTTTAATGAATAAACCTGCATTTAAAGCAAGTAGTTGAGAATTGACTGCTTAGAACGTTCTAGAGATAACTGTGTACCTAATGATACACATGATTTTTCTCAGCAACTTTGAGTTCAGTTTTTGCAGAATATGTAGTTGTTTTTATTCTAAGTTTATGTTGTAAGTTTATTATTTGTTCAAAGTCTTGGTAGTCATATAGTAAAAAATCTCATTAAAGTTACGAGGAAAAGCAGAGAATATTTTTTAGGGGGTAGGGGCTGAGGGAGAGAGAATCTTAAGCAGGCTCCATGCCCGACGCAGGGCTTATCTCACAACCCTGAGATCATGACCTGAACCAAAATCAAGAGTCGGTCAGTTAAGCAATTGAGCCATCCAGGTGCCCTGAGAATTTTTTTTTTTTTTTTGAAGACCAAGGCCTCTCATGATCAACCAGTTTGTTAAAATTAAGTAACTCACCACTTAACCGGTCACCTTATAGAATATTTGTTAGAATATTTGTTGTCTTCCGGTTTGGATGTGTAGAACCTAATTCATTTAGGACTTTTTCCATTTAGAATGAGAAATAACATTGAAATGTTCAGGTTTCTATATTCTGTGGTTTATAATTTAGACAGGTTTTCCTTTCGTGTTAATTTGAATTGAGATTTTGCTGGGTACAAAATTAGCCCAATAGGTGAAACCAATCAATATTTACTAATAAAAACTGCTCTTATAAAAAACAAAACAAAGAGAAAAAACCTGGAAAAATATCACCAAGGAATTACTGAATTATTTTTCTTTTGAAACTATACATTTTTAATTTGTTTGTTTTTTATGGCCTAGTCATGGTTTAGTCTCTATTGCTGTTCAGTTGTGATCCATGGACCAGCAGTTTTGGCATTAACTGGCAGCTTATTAGAAATGCAGTGTCTCAGCCTAGACCTACTGAATTAGTTTGGACGTTACCAAGATTCTTTAAAGATTTGTATGCACATTACAGTTGGGAGAATAAATGGCCTATTTTGAATTTTTTAGTATTTGAATTTTCGGTTCAGTGATTATGCCTTGAATTACTTTCCAAGTTCTCTGTCTTCTTTGGAAATTCTCTTTCTTGTGATTGTCCTTTTGGTAAATGTGCCATTGACAAACACAGTAACAGATAAAACTTAAAATGGCCTATAATCATCTTTTCTGTCTAGAGGAGATCTGATTTTCACAGGCCTTGTTGCCTCTCTGCTCCAGAAAGTAGATGTAATGGATTGTCCATCTTTTTTGGGAGTGTTGTTGCTACATCTTATCCCAGATAGGAACTTGTTTGGTAGGATGTCATTCAGTCATTTTAAAGAAGGGGAATTTCTATTTTAAAAAGGAAACTATGGTAATGTGTTTTCATGGAGCCTCTTTGTTTCTTCTGAATAGTTCTTCAGTGGTGGTGGGGCACAATTCTCTGAAGGTCCAGAGGAACAAATGCTTCTTTTTTTAAAACTTGGCATTATGTGGATCTGTTACATTGGCAGTTCTTCACAGTTATTCTAACTGATGGGTATATAATCTGGTCATTAAGAACTGTTTAAAAATCATGTTTAGGGGACACCTGGGTGGCTCAGATGGTTAAGCGTCTGCCTTTGGCTCAGGTCATGATCCCAGGGTCCTGGATCGAACCCCACATCGGGCTCCCTGCTCCACAGGAAGCCTGCTTCTCCCTCTCCCACTCCCCCTGCTTGTGTTACCTCTCTTGCTGTGTCTCTCTCTGTCAAATAAATAAATAAGTAAAATCTTTTTTAAAAAAATCATGTTTAGGATCTTTGTGAAATGCATTCTGCAACTTTTTGACTATTTAAACTGAGAATAGGCTTTGTTAGGAGGACATTCAACATACTGGGTGTAATTGATTATAATTAATTTTGGAGGCTTTGTCATGGTTAGAACTGGAAAGCAACTTAAAATCTAGGGAAGATAAAACTTGTCAAGCTCATATAGCTAGGTTGGTAGTAGTAGAGCAGGGTCTAAAACCGAAATCCTTTATAATTTGTTTGAAATGTCAAAAAATTTTTCATCAGATATTGAAAGGATAGTTAAAATATTTTCATTAATCGTCTTCCTCTGACAATTAGAAGTGGGTGAGAAAAGAAAAGTGGGAAGAACAAGTGGGCCTTTAGGTTCTTTTATTCTCTTCTTTCTGTGCCAGAACTGAGAAGGGTTTTTGTTTTGTTTTTTGTTTTTTTTGGGGGGGGGGAAGCTTTTTAGAATATTTAAAAGGAAACTCAGTTTGCCTCCAGAAGTAATGATATTTACAAGAGAATTCTATTATACTAAGTATTCTATAATTTTTCTATGATCAGTGGAACTGCTTTATTATCTGATGAATTCAAGAGGAGTATACTACCTACCTTCCCACCCTCCTTGAGAAATTGCTGGGTAAAAGACTGTTACTGATGGAAATCTGTCTGTTGAGGCAGACAGTAAACAAGCTAGTGGTCCCCTCTGGAATAACTGAGGTACTCTCACCTGACAAAGTAGGGCATCTTACAGTGGGTCTTATCCAGAGAAGTATTTTTGGATGTCACATTTAGCTGACAGGTGCAGATGTGAAGTAATGACATTTAGGGGTAGAGGCCAAGGATTTTAAATGCTTGTTGTGCATAGACCAGTACTGTACAAGAATTGTCCTATGAAAAATGCCATGGAGAAATATTTACATTGATTGGATACCAACTGGACTAAACCATCAGGATTCCTGAGAATCTTAAATATAAAAGTAGATACAACTGATATTGACTGTGTCAGATAATGTACTAGTCAGTTAACTAATGCCCAGGGGGGCTGTGCTATTTTCAATTATTAAATGTAATATAGTAGACATATAAATAACACTATCACACATTTAAATTAGTTACATGGTTGTGGCAAGAAATGGAGAAATTGTGTTACTAAAAATTTAAAAAAAAGTAAATATGTATGGCAGAGTGCCTGTTGAGTGTCCATTCATGGTAATCATATGTAAGAAGAAAGTTTTTGAACCCTGGGATGGAAAAAGCACAATGAATCTAAGATCAGATCTAGGTTCAGAATCCATCTCTCATCAACTTGTAGCTTGTCAATGTTAATGTTAGTTACTTAATTTCTTTAAAATGCTTTTTTAGTATTATATATATGATTGTACAAAAAACTGCTTAGAGTAAAAATTTAAGCCTATCAAAGGGCATAAAGTAAAAAGTAAAAGCACTGTTTCTCCCTGCCTGTCCC